TGCTAAAATTGCCCCTTGTTCATCCTCAGAGAGACCTGCAACTTAAAAAGTGAAGTGAAAGGAATAGGAAGAAAAGAAAACGACCCAATGACCCAGTCTCAGCTGATGACAGCATCATTGCATGGGTGTGGTCGTCCAGATGTGAGCTCCTCCAGATGTGCAGCCACATCAGCCCCAAGGCAGACCCACCTGTGCCGGGAGACACCAACGTATGTGAGGTCAGACCGCTCGCCTTCAAGAAACACAGTTCAATAAAAGATGTTCTATCTTTAGCCACCGGGTGTGCTAAGCCCAGCTTTTCCTCCCTACCAGGTCTGCAGATTATTCAGGCTTCGGGTTCCCAGAGGAAGGAGAAGAGACCATTTGTCCAAGGAAATATCTGTAATACTTGTTAAGTGGCCTGTGAGAGAGCCCTTTCGTTTATTGGCTGAAACATGAAACGGAAAACATGTGCAGCGAGCACAGGGCCCCCGCAGGCTCCCGCTCCTTCCCAGGACACAGAGAGATGAAGGATGGAGCAAACACGTGAATTCAGGCAGCCCACATGCCGGGGTGTTTCACAATGCAAAAAGCATCTGTTGGGTGGAAATCCTGGGCATTGGGATCGGAATTTATAGACAGATTGACTTCCAGCCTCTAGCGGGGATTCCATTCCTGCTGCTATGGGAATAGATTTTTCCATTTAGTGAGAAGGAAGCAATCCTCATGCAATTATGTGTTTATTTATGCATTTGATGCACATTTACTGAATGTCGATGTCTACATTAGGGACCGAGGACCTCAAGATGAATAAGGTATAGACTCTGCCTTCAATGAACTCGCTCTCTAATGGAAAGAGACAAGAGAAACAAACATTTACAATTTAGCGTGAGCTAGCGTGACGAGAGAAATGTACAGAAGGATTTGGGAGGAAACCAGGGCAGTATAGAGATCTGTAAACCAAGAGTATTGGATATTTACTGCTTTGGGCCATCAAAGATCCATTTTCCCTTCTTCTTGACAACATGACTTCAATTTTCCTTTGGGTATTCATCTCGCTCACACCCAGCTGGCTGTGTCCCCAGCCCAGGCTAAAGCCAATCATCACATCCCATGTCCCTGTGATCAGAATCCTTGGTTCAAGGCATATGATCCAATTCAGTATGATTTAGGAGGGAGTTGCTAGAGGCTTCTAGGTTCAATGGCTCTTTTAAGAGTACAAATGGGAAATCCTGCCCACATTCCTTCTGGGTGGCTGTGGTCTCTGGGAGCTCTTTGTCTTATGAGGGGGCCAGCCTTGGAATGGGAAGACACCACAGAAGGTAGAGAGTAGAAACAAAAAGTAGGTTTGGGGCCCTCACCAAAAGTAGGTTTGGTGACCCTACATACCTAGTGTTGTCTAAACTCACATTGTATCAAAAACATACCTGGACTCATATGTTTATTGCAGCACAGTTCACAATTGCAAAGATGTGGAATCAACCTAACAGCCCATCAGCTGATGAGTGGATAAAGAAAATGTGGTGTGTGTGTGTGTGTGTGTATCATGGAGTACACTCAGTGATAAGAAAGAATGAAATAATGGCTTTTGCAGCAACTTGGACAGGAACTGGAGGCCGTTATTCTAAGTGAAGTAACTCAGGAACAGAAAAATAAATGCCACATGGTTTCACTTATAAGTGAAGTTCAGCTATGGCTACACAAGTGCACACAGAGAAGTAGAATGGACACTGGAGACTCCAAAGTGGGGAGGGGTGAAAAATTACCCATGAGGTACAATGGACACTATTCACGTGATGGGTACACCAAAAGCCCAGGCTCCACCGCTACACGATGTATACATGTAACAGAATTCAACGGGTACCCCTAAATCTGTTAAAATTTTAAAAAAAATTTTGAAATAAAATGAAAACCAAAAAATAAATGTATCTATCACTTTGAGCTCTTTAGTGCAATGAGTTGATAATCTCCCTTTATTATTTAAACCATTATGGGTGGAGCTTTCTGATACAGCTGATCCTTGACCAATACTGAGCTTGGGCTGTGAGAGTCCACTTTTATGTAGATTTTCTTCTGCCTCTGCCACCCCTGAGACAGCAAGACCAACCCCTCCTCTGCCTCCTCCTCCTCAGCCCACACAGCGTGGAGATGAGAAGGATGAAGACCTTTATGATGATCCAGTTGCATTTAATGAAAAGTAAATGTTTTTTTCTCTTCCTTATGATTTTCATAATAACATTCAACCTCTAGCTTACTTTGTTGTAGGAATACAGCATATAATACATATAACATACAAAATATGTGTTAACTAACTGTTTATATTATCAGTAAGGTAAACAGTAGGCTATTGTAGTTAAGTTTTGGGGATGCCAAAAGTTATATGTAGATCTTCAATTGTGTGCAGGGTCAGTGCCCCTAACCCTTGTGTTCAAGGGTAAACTGCACTTGCAGCCCAAGATAGACAGTGTTTCAAAACGGAGATGGGTTTTCTACAATAAATTTGTAATATTCTTATGTATAGAAAGTAATAAAATATTTAAAATACAAAATGTCATCTATAGTGTAAGAAAATAATATAAATCTGCCACCTGTTAAGGACATACAAAAGATTTTCCTATACTAGGAGAATGTCAGACTTAATGACTTTAAGACTTTGCCCAATGCTAACATTCCAAGGCTTTGTTATAATATTAATATCTTTTTGACCATTCAAATTTCACTCTTTTGAGGAGTAAGAACAGCAAAGGAATCTCGTCAGATCAACATTTCGCAACTCTCTTCCAAAAACTAAACCTGAGCTCAGACACTATCTTTTCACATTCTTTCCTAACTCGGTGCAGCCAAGGGGACCAGAAACATCAATTCTGCAACAGGAAAAGAAGCGCCCCAGCCTAGAGACTTGTAGTTTGCTTCTTCCCACTTCTGGGTCCACTTGGGAATATGTCTGATGCTGCGGTCAACCTTTCCCTGGTATATTTTGAGTTCAGATCCCTGGTTCTGAAACCAAGGTGCTGTGTGATCTTGGGGGAAATTCACAAACCAGTGCCTCCGTTTCTACTGTGTGAGGGACTAGGAGGAGGAGCAGGGCTGGAAAGCCATAACTTCCCTGAGGAATGCCGGGAAACTCCCTGACACTCTGCACAGCTCTGAGATACAGTGTGAGCAGGGGTCAAACTTCACCAAAGGTCAAATGGACATTTGCCTGGTGACCTGGGGACGCAAGTGGTGGGGAGCAGAGGGATGGCCTAAACTTAGCTCACTTTTCACAAAGACACATGGGGGCAGATGCAGCTCTGGCTCCCAGGGAGGGAAGCCTCTCCCAGGATATTCACATCCTGAAGATTTGCCCAGCCTACTCAGCGGAGGCCATTGGACCCTGGGTGCGATGCTAAGAGCCAAATCCTAAAAACCTTGAGCCTTCTCCAATTCTACAGCAGTGGGAAAACATCATGTGTTGGCTGGCCACGGGATAGCCTGCCACCCAAGAGGGAGAAGGGAAGGCCCTGCTGCTTCTAGCTCCTTTCCCTGCGAGTGTGGGTGTGACACATGCTCCTAACATGGCTGAGGCACCACAGAATCTGCTGTCCCTGGGAATTTTGGACACTTAGTCAGAAGGGACCTCCAGTATCCACTGGATACTTGACTTCCTTTCCATCGTCCCCAACAAATAGCCATGTGCCTTCTGTTTTAACACCTCCAGGAGCAGGAAACCTACTCCCTAACCTGGCAGCCTGATAGCATTTATTTTCATGTCTCTTAGAACTTCCTTCCTTGTAATGAACAGAAACTTACCTCCCTGTAGCTCTTTTCTTTCTGGTCTTAGGTAGATTGACCTATTATTATTATATTATATTGTTATTATTATTATACCTAGTATTATTTATTGTCCAAACCCAGGTTCACGTTTGAGACTAAATGGGGACACTATTAATAATTACACCAGGATAAAAGAGGTAACCTGGAGCTTTCTTGGCAAACTCACCTGGGCGTAAGACTTCCCCAGCCTTACCCCACAGATAACTGGAATCATTCTTGTCCCCCTTCCTTAGGAGTCATCAATATTTAAAGGTACTTAAATTACCTCCTGAGTCTTCTCTCCTCTAGAATAAACAAGGGAAGCTGATTTCTTTAGTAAAAAGAGAATTGGACTAGGAACAAGACATAACTACGTGACTCTTCGGGGCCATGCCAGGGAAAGCCAGTGCCTCCCAAGATCCAATGTTATGTCCTGCTTTCTCAGAAAAGAAAGCAATTTGTAATATTCTGAAATATGAAAGGGCTCTCAGAAGGACACGTGATAAGCTACATCAATTGTGAAACATAAATTGTGGTTTTATTTGTTCTGCAGGAGCGTTAAAACATTGCAAATTTTTCACGAGGCAGGACAGCGTGGCGGCAGTGGGTGCCAAATTTTGGTCTGCAGCTTAAGGCTGAGCTGGTTGCATCAGAATCTGCTGGGAAGTAGATCAAAAAATCAGATTCCTGGGTCTCTTCTCAAAATTTCCAGAGGGGCCTATAGCATTTGTGTTCTGACAAGCTCGGGAAGCCATTCTAATTATGAGCCAAGTTTGAGATCCACCAACAAAATGACCAAGAGAGCCAACTTTGGTGCTATATATTCATCCACTCCACAAGTATTTATTGAACACCTACTATGTACCAGACATATTCTAGGCACAAGAGAACCAGCAGTAGACACACACACACACACACACACACACACACACACACATGCGCGCGCACACATGCACAGCATAAAAGTCAAAAGGTTTGCGGTTGAGGGCCAGTCTGGTATTATCAGCTTATGTGACTTAACTTCTTGATGCCTTAGTTTCCAACTGTATAAAAGGAGGATGATGATGCCTACCTTATAGCGTTGTTGTGATGTTTAAATAATATATGCACAGTGGTCACCCCTGTGGATAGTCCACAGTGAGCACTCAATAAATGTTAGTTATGAAGACCACATCGTGTTGATAATGATGATGTCAATAACAATAATGATAAATCTAGAAACAGAAAACAAAGGAAGCTTACTAGTTTCATCCCATGTAGACAGTGAAAGACTAACTACCGCCACATCCAAGTTCTCTGTGTACCATGCGGCCACTTTTTTCACTATGACCTTGCATGGTCTTTCTTCACCTCCCTTGTTCTCAAGTACAAAATGAAGGACCTACATATAATGATGGACAGACACTCCATCAACATTAATGTTCTGTAAACCAAATTCACTTGTACATGCCTCAAAAAACAGCCTTCAGGCAGTTGGCTTCACCTCTGGCTTCCTTCTAGATCATTCCAGCTGCTGGTGCTCACCTCAGTGTGGGGTCCCAGAGTCCAATGTATCATTCTCAGCATGATCTGAATTGAAAAAGACATAGTGAAATAAATGGCAATGGAATTAACATAGTAAAGAGTAGAGATATTATTTCTATCATTTTAGTCATTGTACATGAGCAGGTCTCATGTTCCTAATAATCGAGATGAGGCAGGAAGAAGACAGACCGGGAGCTGGCAAGGATACCTAGAGTAAGACCACCGGGGAGGGGGGCAGAGCCATCAAGGGGGAGGAGGCTGAGAAGCTGCCTATTTCGCAGGCAACAACTTTCTCCCCTCCAAAGAAGTCCGCAGAGACTGTAATGAGAACATCTTGGCCAAGGTCATGATTCACTGTCCAAAACTGGGCTGGGCCCCTCATGCTGGGAGAATTTCACAGTTTTTCACATTATTCCCAAACCCCACTCCTCTGTTTAGGGGTGTCATTCAGAGCTTATTACTAAAAGGGTCCAAAGGCCTCCGTTCATATGTCCTAGGGGGGCAGAGGCTTGGGAAGAGTAGCAGTGGTGACGAGGGCAGCCAGGACTGAGGATAAAGGGCAGTTCTGGGAGACATTAGCAAGACGGCTCCTAGAGGGAAAGCTTAGCTCTCTCTGTTCACACAACCTCTGTTCAGAGCCCTGAAGAGGAGCAAGCACTGAAATGCAATGGAAGAATAAGAAGTTGGAAGGAAGAGCAGCTTCCAAGAGGCAGGTGGCCAGCTACAATGCTGCCACGTACAGCAGCACAGTCTGGGCACTGCACAATTCTGGAAGGTGCCATTCGCACAGAGCAGGGATAAGCAGACTTCTTCTGCAATGTACCAAATAATAAATATTTTTGTTCTTGCAGATCTTATAGTCTCTGTCACAACTATTAAATTCTACCATTATAACTAAAGTTGTTGGATAAAATACAGGACATCATATATATATATATATATATAGGTTTTTTTTTTTTTAGGCAGAGTCTCACTCTGTTGCCTGGGCTAGAGTGCCATGGCATCAGCCTAGCTCACAGCAACCTCAAATTCCTGGGCTCATACAAGCCTACTGCCTCAGCCTCCCGAGTAGCTGGGACTATAGGCATGCACCACCATGCATACTTATATATATATATTTAAATATATAATATTTAAATTATAAAAATATTATAAACATAATAAATAAAATAATATATATTTTTAGTTGTCCAGCTAATTTATTTCTATTTTTTTTGTAGAGATGGGGTCTCACTCTTGCTCAGGCTGGTCTCAAACTCCTGAGTTCAAATGATCCACCCACCTCAGCCTCCCAGAGTGCTAGGACTACAGACATGAACCACTGCGTCCAGCACCATATATTTTTATTTGCTAAATCCAGTACGCCTATTTGTACACAAAAGAAGCCACAAACAATACATAAATGAATGGGCATGGCTGTGTTCCAATAAAATTCTCCTTACAAAAGCAGGCAGTGGGCCTTATTTAATGATGATATAAATGGTAACCCCTGGAGTTTTGCAACATAGCAGTCCTTGCCGGCCAAGGGGACCAACATGGCAGCCAGTTACCAAATAGCATGGCAGGGTAGAACAGTGGTTTTCAAATGCATTTGACTGTAAGCCCCACAGTAAGATACACATTTTACATCATGATTAAGCCTCACAGAACCATACTTAACTTCACCAAGTGCAATATAGCATTTTTAATATACTATTTGATTTTTTAAAATGTTGATAGCAACCAATACAATTAACTTCACAATCTTCTAATGGATTTGCTGGAATTGGAGCCAGAAGATCTCAGTTTCAGTCTTAATTCTAACTCTTGCCAACAACGTATCCTTTGGAGAATCACCTCATTTGAAAGTTTATATCTGGAAATGGGGATCATAATTATTTCAGAGTGACTTTATGGGAAAAACATGAAATAGTTCGAGGTAACCAGTTCAGTAGCTCAAACTATGGTGTAGTTACTATTGGTGGTACCCGAGGTGGTTTTAGGTAGTGCACAGATGAACATTGTATGCACTTATTTTAATTCTTTATGAAAATGTATAACTTACATCAAATGCATAATATCAGCAGCAATATAAAGATATAAAGCTTCTTTTAAAAATAAACTTATTTGAGAAAAATAGGTTAGTTTAAAGAAAAATATTAACAAATAACATTAATGTTATATGTGAAAGTGGTAAATTTGTGCAAATGATAAGTAAGTGAAGTTTGGGAAGCTTGGAGATGATGTGTGATGGTCAGAGTAACAACCTAAAAGATGGTAGGAGTGACATGGTGGCCCCCTTGTAAATTTGAGCAGAGTGTCTGATTCACTGTTGATTCCCCAGCCCCAAGAATTGGATTGGCTCAAAATAGGTGCTCAATATGTGGTTATGATGAATGGATGGATGGATGATAGATAGAAAATGGATGGATGGATGGATGGATGGATGGATGGATGGAGTGGATAGATGGGTGCATGGACAGATGGATACCGAATGGATGAATGGATGGCAGATGATGGAAGGATTTGTGGATGGATGGATCAATGGATAGTGGATGTGGATAACTGGATGATGAATGAAAGGATGGATAGACGAATGAATAATGGATGGATGATGAATGAGTGGATGGATGGATGGATGGATGGATAGATGGATAATGAATGATGGATGGATGGATGGATAATGAATGCATGTATCATGGAAGGATGGATGGATGGACTCATGGATGGATGAGGAAATGAACGAAATGAAATGAAATCATTAAACACCAACCTTTTGGAAGCAGGACTTAGTTTCCAGCTACGGAGGATGAAGTATGGTGTCAAAGGTGTCAGTGACTTCAGAGCCTGGGGGAAGGAAAGCGGGGGCAGACATTCTTCCTCTGAGGTGTCATCTGGATGCTAAAACCTTCTATACTGCCACAGTTAACACTGAGCCATGGCAACCTTAGGTTGAGACAGAAAACACTAAGCTGAGGCCAGCTCTGTTGCCCACATCAAAATGTCATTCCTGGATGTAGGCGCTTGCAGCAAACACCTAGTGAAGAGAGCATAAACGGAAATATTTAGAACTATAACTCCTAGGAAATGCTGACTCATTTAAGTCTGAACTAGCCATTTGCTCATAAGAAACGCACCTTCTAGCTGCAGCCCATGGGTACAGAGGACGCCCGGGACCTGCAACAATCGCGTGCAGAAGGACAAGGATACCGGAGCACATTGGGCTGCCCCTCTCAGGTAGGAGCTCTCATCACAGGTCAAGTTCAAACAAAGGAAACTTCTGCACTGGCAGAGGGGAAATGGTATCTTACATGACAAATAGCAGCCCTTAGAATTCTAAATCCTCTACTTCTTTTATGGCAAAATATTTTGAGAAACATAACATGCTCGACTTACTTTAGCAATCCCAAGACGTACTCTTCTGCTTTCACCTGCCGGTTTCATGCTGGAGGATTTAATGTGATATTACTTCCATCTCTCCCCTCATTTCAACACAGGAAAAGAACCCTGACTAACTGAGGCATAAAGAGACCGAGAGGTGCTGTAGAAAGGTAGTGACGGTTCAGGCTCTGCACAGAAATCCTGGATCCCCACCTGCTGGCATGTTCATCCACCTCTCTGGGCCTCAGTTTCCATATCTGTACAGTGGAGAAGCATCTACAGAGCTGTTGTGAAGACTAAATGGGTTAGTAAAGACAAAGACTCTCTAGAAGTTTCTGGTACATAGTAAGCACCCAGTAAATGTGACCTGATATTATTCTGTGTACTTACTCTGTGGCAGAAACTTTCACTTCAAGAATATTATTTAATCCTAAAAAGAAGTAGGAATTATTCCTAGTTTGCAGATCAAGGGTAAGTGACTTACCAAAGTCTGGCAAATGGTAAAGGCAGGACACAAATCAAATTCTTTGTCTTCCTGTCTTTCCTGCCATCCCTGGTGCTAACCTAATTCACCAGTTAAAAGTCATTTCCATCAAGTGTTAATTCAACTAAGTTTATATATTTTAATTTTCAATCTAATCATAAAATGGATCCCCCTTTTTCCCCATCTTTATTTATTTATTTATTTTTTGTCCAGTGGAGCGTGCATGTGTGTGTGTTTGAGGTTGAGAAGAGGTGCTAAAATTGGACTCAAATGACCTTGAAGGTAAGCCTGATTTCATTTGTGTCCTGTGACTTGCTAGCAAGGTGTATGGAAGGAGGATTTGAGGGGAAAAAGTGGCCCATAGTGGCCCCTTCCTGGAATGGACCCCGACTGTCCCTCAAACGCTGATCCAGAAGGCTGAGGCTGCTAAACGTGGCTGTCCTTTGCTTTCCAGCTTTTTCTGGGACACAAGTGTCCTCTCGCCCCTGCCCAGACCTGGCCGTACCCACAGCACAAGACGGCTACCCTCTGAGAGGTGTGGGGTAGGGAGGGATGGGCATCTGCGAAGATACATTTTTGGGGGGCAGGGGAAAAGGAACAAGAGCCTTGAGGGAGGTTCTCCCAGTGGCTTGTGATTTTATCTTCCCTGAAGAAGGAAACGAGGCTCCGCGTGAGTAGGGGGAGGTGGGTGGTAGCCGAAATGAAACAGGGACAGCTGACTCAGTGGGGAAAGGAATGCCAGGGGACTTTGAAGGCCATTTGCTAAGGGAGCAAGCAATGCTGCCGCATTATTTCATCCTAAATGTGTCTTTCTTAGAAAAGCACCTCGACTCTTGAAACATCAGGCTGCGGTCCTCTAGGGCCCCTTCGAGGGCGGAGGGTGAGATCACTCAGCTCCGCGTGGATTCGTTCTCCACCAAGCAAACCTGTGTCAAAGGTACACCGTATGCCAAGAAGTCCACCAGGCTCTGAGGACACAGCCGTGGTGGGAATGAACGACATCCCTGCTCTCAATGGAACTTACCAGACTGATGGAGATCCAAACGATGAACAAAAGATAAGCGTGTGCGTAAGTAAGGGCGCGAGCCGAGCATGGGGAGGACGGTGTGGGAGGACCTGCAGGGAAGGGGCTGCTGGGGACGGGCTCAGAGATGGCCTTTCGGAAGAGCAGGACACAGAGAGCCCAGGCTGAGGACAGCGTGTGTGAAGGGGGCAGAGGAGAAAGGCGCTCGTCAGCCAGGAGCCTGAACACAGTGGGAAAGGGGCCGTGCGGCCAGAGGGGACGGTGAGAGGCGCCCGGCAGGGTTTGCATTTTGTTCCGAGGGTCTCTGGAAGTGGACTGGGCCCTCCGCCTTTGTACCTAAATGAGGCTTTCTTCCCAGCGACGTCCCAGTTGCACATTCTAAACGTTTCAGGTTAAGGTAATATGTTTGCACCATCTACACTGTCCCCAAGCTCTCAGGACCAGACAGCGTATTTGGGAGGTATTTGGGAGCGTATTTGGGAGCAGGAAGCAGGGGGCAAACTAAACTCAAACATTTTTGTCTTGAGAGGGGCTTACCAACCATCCCGGCCAACGTGAAGCCCCTGGGGGCTCTGTCAACACACAGGTGGGTGCCTGGGAATCCCAGGGTGGGTGGTGGTTGAGCTGAGCCCCGCATGACTTTGCCGTCTTTCAGAGTTCCTGCTTTCCTCTTCGGTCCCATAAAATCCCAGGCACACCAAACATGGTGCCCAGACAGAGTGGCTTTCCCTCCGTGGATCGTGACTCAACCAAAGCATCCCTCCCCTGCCCGCTTCCCTGCCCTGGGCCTCCCAGGAAAGCACACCTGTCCATTTGTCAATATTTGCTCTGTCTGCCGCCCTCCGCAAAAGAGGGGGAAACGGTCTTCCCTGTCAAACTAGTGTTTACACAAAGCATTTGTAGACTCTCAGAGCCGTGGAAAACCTGGCGCCCTCCGCTAACCTGTGCCCTTAATGAAGCGGTAGCTTTTCTCCCGCCATCCCATCCATCAGGGATGACAGCGCGTGGTTTGTCAACCAGTAAGAAGTCGGGTTGAAAATCATTTCACCCGGGAACCTGGGGGGAAGGATGCTGGAAGGGTAACTCGATCTCAGAGGATGAAGCCCACCCTGCTGATGCAGGAGGACAGCCGGGTGGGGCTCCGTTCGCTACCCAATCAGAGGACACGAGCAAGTGACAAGCCAGTCGTGAGAAAAGTACCGATTCTTGGGCACTTGGAAAGCTTTCTAGCTCCTTAGTCGGTTCCAGTCACTTAGTCGGCCCAGCGTCACTTCCAAGTGCGGGCTCCGCCGCTGATGCAGTCGAGATTCAAGTTGCCAGAAGCAGGCCTTGCTGGGAAGGTGCGCATTCCCGAGAGGTGGCTGGGCTCTGCTCCCAGGGGAGGACGCTGTTCAGCTGACGCCTGCTTCCACCGGGCTTTGGACATCCAAGCCACCTGGGACAGACACACTGAAAAGCCATTTGCTGGGCTGAAGAGGAAAAACAAATCTGATCACTGCCTTTGTCATTCAAAAGACCCCTTGAGGTGTACGGGCCAAGCCTGGGGCAAAGGCAGGCCACATCTGCAAAAGAGCTTCTTAGGGGGCCACTTGCACTCTGCTGAAAGTGCCACCCAGCCATTGCCAGCGCTGAGCCGGCAGCAATAAAGAAATCAAGGCCATAAGACCTCAGGCAACTCACAATTCATCTGCCACAGTCTTGGAAGGGGCTCAAACTCCTCACAAGAAGAATGGAGTATCTGGTGAGGCTAGCACTCAGTGGGAGGAAAAATAAATAATAATAATTATTTATTGTGTACTTTATTATATGCCAGTAAGAGATTAAGGAATTTCAACTCTTTGAATTGAACCTCAACCCACTCCTGCTATCTTTAATATGAAGACACAACTATTTCCCATCCAGGAGATTGTCCTTTGATAGTATCTCAACAAAACAGTCCCTGGAATGCGCTTAGAATAGTCCTACCATGTTTGGGCCCTCAATAAGTGTTAGGGACTTTTTATTATGATTATTATTACCGTGAATACTTTTATTATCCTCATTTTACAGATGAGAAAACTGAGGCTCGGAGAGGTTATGGGGTTAGCAGGAGATCACACGGGCACTGAGCAACAGCTACCATCAAAGCTGGTTCTTCTGGCTCTGGAGACTGAGGTCTTCTCTGCCAGGCTACAGAGTCCTGCTCTGTGCTAACTGTGACTTGCTTTATTGCAATTATTTGCCTCACTGCAGTGATCTGGGCTCAAACCTGCAATATCTCCAAGGTATGCCAGTATACATTTGCTCCAGCAGGCTGATAGAATTTATATATATAAAGCACATAGAAGAATCTTCACTCCAAGCTGTATCTAGCTTGCTGTCCTCTATTTGAAAATGCTATTCAGGGCTGGGCGCAGTGGCTCTCACCTGTAATCCTAGCACTCTGGGAGGCTGAGATGGGCGGATCGCTCAAGGTCAGGAGTTCGAAAGCAGCCTGAGCGAGACCCCGTCTCTACTAAAAAAAATAGAAAGAAATTAATTGACCAACTAAAAATATATATACAAAAAATTAGCCGGGCATGGTGGTGCATGCCTGTAGTCCCAGTTACTTAGGAGGCTGAGGCAGAAGGATCGCTTGAGCCCAGGAGTTTGAGGTTACTGTGAGCTAGGCTGACGCCACGGCACTCACTCTAGCCTGGGCAACAAAGCGAGATTCTGTCTCAAAAAAAAACAGAAAAAAGAAAAAGAAAATGATATTCAGGAACAAACAATAAATCCAAGCGGCACGCCTTGTTCCTGTGACTGACCACTGGTTAGACGTGCTCTCACCTGCAGGGTCATGGCATCATAGATCACGCAGACACACCCAGGTGCCAGGCCCACGCAGAAGCAGGTGCTGGGCAACTGGTCCTCCCACAGGCCTGCCCAGAAGGCAGCCAAATATACGGAGGCCGGATACAGCTGCATGAAGGAGTCACGGCACTTACAAAGTTGTATGGAAACGGTCTGTTTGCCCATCTGTGCAGAATAAATCGTGAGCGCAATGAGGCCAGGTCTGTGTCTGATTCACTCGGGTATCTCCACCCACTAGCACGGGGCTTGTCTGGCACATAGTTGGTGGAACCAAATCCAGAGGGACCTGAGGGGTCGTCTGCCTTCTCTGGGCAGCAGCTGCGTGACACCCCCTCCTATACCAGACTCCGGGCTCCGGCCTCAGCTCAGGCCTTGCCTTTGCCTTTGATTGGGTCCAATTGGTCAAATGATGGCATGGCCCTGCCCATCATGTTCAATTCTCAGGGCCCAGACTTTTGACCTGTCAAGCTGGGGGCCCCAGCACAGCAACTGTCCTTTTATTAATCCCCAAGGAGCCAGGAACAGGGATTGTGCCTCATCAAAAGCAGGGGAAGTTTCTTTTGCCATTAGTTCAGAACACAGTCAAGCTGCCTATGGAGATTCTGCACCCTACCCCCAAGGGAAGTTGGAAATCCTATAAAATTCTAGCAGCACGGGAAGAACATGGGTTTGGTCAGCAGTCAAGACTGAGTTTGAACCCCCCGCCCCATCACTTGGAGCTGTGCAACCAAGGAAAATTACTTAACTTCTCTGAGCCTCAGTTTGCTCATCTGTAAAACAGGAGTAATCCCACCTATCTCACAGGGCTAATTTGACAGTCATGGGAATAGTGCCTTGCTCAGGATCTGACACATATAAAGGGTCTCAGTAAATGCCGGTCCCTCCCTCCCTTCCCCCACCCAAATACATCTGCTCACTGGCCCCTTCTTCATCCTCTTCGTCCAAGCCTGGCAAGTCTTCCTGTTCACATCCAGAGTCCCCATGTCATTTAAGGTCCTCATTCCCGAAGAGTCCTGTCCAGGAGCCCCAGTGCCCCTTTGTGTGACCTCCTATAGCATTCCATCAGCAACTCACAGCTCTGTACACAGCTGGCTCTCAATGTCATTTTCTTTTTCTTTTTCTTTTCTTTTTTTTGCACAATCAGATCAGAAGTTTTTTGAAAAAGGAAGCTATACCTTAGATAAACTCTGCTCTCTCTCCCTGACCACAAAACACATCTGTAGCCCAGGACTGTGTACACTGAAGTCTCTTACTTCAGTGGATTTGAATATGTAACTGACAGTTGGACAATACTGATTTCTTTTAACAAAAGAGCATCTCTTCATCCTTAATCCCAACGTGAGCAGGGAATCCACGCATCTCAAGAGTGTGAGTGCCAGAGAGTGAGCTACCTGCCAGGTGAGTCGTATATCAGAGGGCCAAGCCAGTGAGCTAGCCACAACAGGAGCGAATCCCTTACAGGCACCGTGACAATGTACCAGAAAGTCTTGGAGACAAAGAAGTCCAGATTTAAATCCCTCCTCTGCCATTTTCTATGTGATTTTACTACGTGAGTTAAACTCTCTACACCTCATTTATAACTTGGGGGTAATAATGCCCACCTCGCAGGGTTGCAAAGAGTTCATGAAAATATGCAAACACGCTAACAATAGGAACAGCACAGCGTAGCATAGGTGAGGCTCTGGAGTCAGGTTCAAATCCCACGTCCTCTGCTTACCTGCTGTGCAATATCAGGCCATTTGCTTACCTTCTTGTGCCTCGGTTTTCTCATCTATAAAATGGGGATTCTGATAGTACTTACCTCTTGAGTTGCTGTAGGATTGAATGAGATAATGTAATGATGATACATGTGAAGTGCTTAGAGCAGGAGAGCCTGCAACAGGGTAAAGCTCAGCAAATATTAGCTATTGTTGCATAAGGGGCCTTGCCCCATCCCTGGCATTCTGTCAGCGCTCAGTGAATGGCAGCTACTGTGAGTTAAACAGGTGGTCAATGGAGGGAACAAGGAACCCGTTAGGAACAGCAGCGACAAGGGCTGGTCCATGAGCAAAAGCTGAACTTGATGACTCAGGACATTGTGTGGAGCAAAACTGACATTTTTCCCCATCACTGTTATTAATAAACGTGTGCAACATATTCTACAGTCAGGGGAAAAAGACATACACACAAATTTTATACCCTGGAAATAATAAAAATTAATAGGGTACTCTATCTGGTTCTGGTCCCCAAATTACATGAAATATGCAATTCCTGTAAGCATGGAGCCCTAGCAAAAACAACTGCATTCCTGATTTTTATCATGCCCATAGCTGAAGTATGTCCCCAACCTTTCTGTTATGACAACCACGTAAGAAAGCTGCTTTCTTCCACCACGAACAGACTGGTGTGCCCTCAGTAACCTTGGTGATCTTGTGGTTTTCTTCTTTAACCACCTTTTGTGTCTTGATTTGTGAGCCTTTCTGAAGTCTGACTCCCTTGCACTTGTTGCAAGTCAATGTCTTTTCTTTCTGAAACGCTTTTATCTCAGAGTTTTCTGCGGACAGTTATAAGGCCAGTCGCAGGCAGTTTAATACTATCTTCTCCTGTTCTAAGGTTGCTGACCAATATACCATCCGTGGATGACGTTTTTACTGGTAAAGAGTTAGTGGCCAGAATATCAGTGTTGGGAGAGACACGATGTGGACAGGTACAGAGTTCAGCTCGATACACCTGCCCAAGACAAACCTGAGTCTGGTGACTGCTGTGAACGGCAAGTTAGCTCTGAAGTAAGGAGCTGCAGTCACATGGGCATGGAGTGGCACAAAAGCTGTGTTAATCAGGACTGTGTTAATTAGACCCATCTGAATTTCTGAATCATGGAATATGCTTTGTATAAATAAATATAATCATTTATAAATAAAGAAATATATATATTTATAATTAATGATAAATATTAAAATATATTAAAATTAATCTTTATATAAATACTAATGTATAAAATAATCATTTATACCTGCATAATATATGGTATAATTAATATATTAATAAAATATTAATTTGAAATATATTAAATGTATTTATAAATAAATATATTCAGAAGTAAATATATATTTATAAACACATAAATTTATAAAGAAAGAAACATATTTTAGTAATTGTAACGTAAGCTAAATTAACAAAGTTCACTTAGGGCATTTCCAATCATGGTTTGGAGCAATCCTTAGAGGTTTTACTTTCATGTTTACATAGAATGACATTCAACATAGATATAATATGTACATTCAATGTAGACATTCAATGTAGATATAATATGAACACCAACCAGACATTTTGAAAGTGCTTGGGAGTATTTGAAACTAGTTTCTTCTCTTAGTAGCTTAAATATTCCCTGTAGCATTATTCACTTTTCACCAACCCTAAAGAAATGATTTTCTATGCAAAGCTGAATTTTAACCAAGGTCCTGCTTGATTTATTAGACAGAACAAGTCTGTAGAGCAAAAATATTAGCTGCCATTTTTTGAGAGAGCGCTCTATACCCTGCCCTGTGCTAAGTCCTTTATCTGCATTATTACACTGAATTTTCACATTTCCCTCTGAAGAAGCGTAACCGGAACCCCTGACTTTTAGTTGAGGAAGATAATTTGCCCAAACTTAAGCAAGCAGTGTGTGGCTGAGCAGGTATTTGAGCCCACATTGTTCTAACTTTTGAAGTTGAGTTCCTAACCACGCTGCTCCACCACTCTTCACGGATGATCCCCTCAACCCATCCTTTCCTTCCTTCCGTAAGCTTACAGACTTTGAGTATCCACTATGGTTAGGCGCCATCCTAAGTGCCAGGGACACCGCGAAGAATGAGATGGAGAAGCTATCTTGGTGGAACTTACGTTCCTGGGGCAGAAGTTGGTAGGAGAGAGAAAAATATAAGAACAGTAAATAGAGTCATGTGTCCTTAACAAAGGGGACCTTCTGAGAAACGTGTCATTTAGGTGACGTTGTCGTTGTGTGAACATCAGAGGATGTACTTAAACAAACCTAGATGGCACAGCCTACTACACACCTAGGCTGTGTGGTATGGCTTATTGCTCCTGGGCCACCGACCTGTACAACAGTTACTGTGCTAAATACCGCAGGCAATTGTAACGCAATAGTATTTGTGTACCTAAACACAGCCAAACATAGACAAGGAACCGTAAAAATTCAGTATAAAAGATAAAAAATGGACACTTGTATAGAGCACTCACCGTGAATGGAACTTGCAGGAACTTGCTCCGGGTGAGTCAGGGAGTGAGTGGTGTGACTGTGAAGGCCCAGGACATCACTCCGTGCTGCTGCAGATTTGATAAACACTGTACACTTAGGCTACACTAAATTTATTTAAATTTTTTTCTTTCTTCAATAATAAATTAATCTTATCTTATTATAATGTTTTTACTTTGTGTACTTTTAATGTTTTCTAACTTTTTGACTCTTCTGTAATAATATTTATCTCTAAACACAAACACACTGTACGGCTATGCAAAAATGTCTTCTTTAAGCTTTTTTCTATTTTTAGAATTTTAAAATTTTTATTTTACTTTTTAAACTTTTTTGTTTAAAAACTAAGACACAAACACACGCATTAGCCTGGGCTTACACAGGGTCAGGATCATCAATATCGCTGTCTTCCACCTCTACATCTTGTCCCACTGGAAGGTCTTCAGGGGCAATGACACACATGGAACTGTCACCTCCTATGATAACATTGCTTTCTTCTGGGTACCTTCTGAGGCTGTTTAACAGTCAGCTGTTTTGCTTTATAAGTAAAAGGAATACTTATAAAAATAATGGAATACTCTAAAATAATGATAAAAGGTATAGGATAGTAAATAAACTAGTAACTGTTGTTTATTATTAGCAAATATGACATACTGTACATAATTGTATGTACTAGGCTGTTCTATGACTAGCAGCACAGTAGGATTGTTTACCCCAGCACCACCCCCATACACACACACACAGATGAGTAATGCATTGTTACAACATTAGGATGGCTATGACGTCACTGGGCAATAGAAGTTTTCAGTTCCATTATAACCTTATGGGACCACCGTCATGTATATGGTCCATCGTTGACTGAACTGTCGTTAGTGCATCACTCCGTACTGCTATGGAGAAAAACATAAAGCAGCAGGAAAGATGGACGTGGGGAACCAAGGGGAGGAGTAGGGTGGGCATTTTGAACTGGGTGAACATATTTCCTTGTGGCGTGGAGGAGGGGGATGAACCTTGTACGCCTTGACCTCGGGGGAACTGCATTTCAGGCAAGCGCGGATGCCCTGGGTGGGGCCTGCTGGGCTGTTTTAGGAGGACCGGGGTGGTCACTGTGACTGGAGCTGGGTGACCTCAGGCTGTGGTTCTCCAAGCAGGGGCCTTGGGCCAACGTCAGCATCACCTTGGGACTAGTCAGAAGTGCACATTCTCGGGCCCCGTTCCCCACCCGCGGACGTGGGGACTCTGGGCTGGAGCTCAGCAGTGTGTGGTGTGTGTATGCGTCTGTGTGCTGTGTGTGTTGTGCGTGTGTGTCTTAACATTTTATCTTGAAATAATTTCAGATTGACAGAACAGTTGCAGAGAGAGTGCAGAGATGTCCCTTACCCCCGTCTTCCCCTGATGTCAACCTCTTACAGAATCATGGCACATTTTTCTAAACCAAGAGGTTAACATTGGTACAACACTACTGACGAAACTGCAGACTTTATTTGGATTTCATCAGTGTTAGGAATCTGCGGTTTAACAAGCCCTCCAGGAGATCTGGTGCCCAGCAAAGTTTGAAGACCACTGATCCCCGGGGATGATAAGAGATGACATCAGGGAAGCTGGGGGTGGGGGTCCAGATCTTGTGGGGTCTTACAGGAAATTGCAAGGACTTTGGCTTTTTTCTGAGATGAGAAGCCATTTGAGGGCTCTGAGCTCAAACAACACTTTCTCAGTGTGGTCTAACCTGACCATCTTAACATCAGAAAGGCTCTTCCCCAACCCTTGCACTAGATTCCCCCCCCCCCCGATTTATTTTTCTTTCTAGTCTTTGCTCCTTTCTCCCTGATTTGGTGTCTTTACCGTTCTCAGCCTCTTCTGCTAGCTCCACCAGGGCTGGGATCTTGGTGTGATTCATTGATATGTCCCTGGCGCCTGGGACCCAGGAAAGGCTCAGCAGATATTGGCTGAATGAAGAAAAGACCAAGGAAGAAAAATAAAGTGGAGAAAGAATGAAGTGTTTTGGTGTCCATTTAAAAAGCCTTGTTCTGGGTACTGAATGAAGAAATGACCAATAAATTGCAGAGGTGGACAGAGAGACCACGTAAGAGCTCCTGTGACAATCCAAAAGAAAGAAGATGGTAGCTTGGCCGTCACCTGGGTAAATGTGGGGTTTTGTGTCTTACACATGCTGGTGGAACAGACACTAGCATTACAGTCCTCCAAAAAATACTGTGTTTAAGAAGAGCTCTGGAGAATAACTTTTGAAGATAAATCAATCTCTTATTTTAAGAATAAAAATAAACTCCAAATATTTGGTTATTTTAAAGGAATTTCCTGTGCACGTGCAAAATGCCCAGCTTTTATTCTCTATTAAGACATGCAGAGTCTATTATTACAGCCTTGATGTTTAACTTACCATCAAAGGGGGCAGGCCGAGATGGCCAGACCTCAAGTTCAGGAATGTTAAACACTGTTCACAATACGCCCCAGACTTAAAATGCTTTCTTTAATACCGAGTTGCATGGTTCACCAAGGATATACTCTTTCTTCCAGAAACAGGGTGAGGATTTAGGGATCACTGATACAATATCCCAAAGGTACCGTTTTGACACACAAGAGGCAAGGAAACTCCATAGGGTCTGAAGTCCACCTGGTTTCTAAAGCTAGTTCTGCCTTGTACTTGCTGTGTGACCTTGGACAAGTTACTCAACTGCTCTGAGCCTAAATGTCCTCACTTTATTGGCCTGGTACTTTTATAAGAGTGCAGAACTTTACAATTTTCATTTTAGCAAAGGATGCTGCTATCTGGTTGCCAATGGCCTCTGCCTTTAACAGGGAAAATAGCAGGTCCTGTTCCAGGAAACTGTTCTGTTCTTGGAAGAAGTTTTCAAAGGTCCTTGTTGGTTATATAAATGTGGGATGAGAAGAACCCCATTGCTCTTGAGGAAAGGCTCATTGGACAGCTTCCTGGCTCAGAAAAGGCCACTCCTCCCAGCCTCTTCTGATTTTGCATCATGCAAAGGAAAACACTGGGAGAATGCTGGAGGGGCTGACCCCTTGTCCCTGGAGGTTCCACACTGCTGGACCCTCCCAGGTGGACTTGACTGAGGTCAGCGGGTAGGAAAGGATCTTTCCAGGGGCCCGAGAAGGGGAAAAAAGACACATGCTTATTATGATCATAAACATCAATAATGTTAACATTTGAACTTTACGGCTTACCAGGCACGGTCACATATACTAGTAGCATCCTCATAATACCATGGTCTGACCAGATTTCTCAGCGGGCGGAATCCTTGCCCCACCCTCAACATACCCCTGGGATCCCTTTCCAGAGACGCCCTAGAGCATGTCCAGCATCCATGGTCTCAGATTCCTGCATACCAACCTCTCCACATCACATCTTGCCCTTAATTCCATTTTCTCTCCCTTTTTCATCACCAACCACTCACTGTCTCCCCTCAGTTGTAATTCTGCCTGAGTCCCATCAGTTCAACTCACGGCTCACTCTTCCCTTAGCTTCTGATCTCCTGGTCCCCCGCCTGGCTGCTACATTCATATCTCCTCTTAACCGGATGCTGCACATTCGCATTGCTCTAGGCGCCTCCCTGCCAGCTCACACTGGCCATCAAAGCCTTCCCTGGGGACAGCGCCTTTTAAGCAGCCTCCCACACCTTCACAGACAGACCCTGGGCAGTCCCTCCAATCTGCCAGAGGATAAACCTTCCAGGATCATACAACCGACCAAATTGCATTGCTCCTGAGTGAAGCTCAGCTCTTAGAACCCTCCCACACAGATATCTTCACTCCTTCCCCCACACCACTTCACCATCGTCATGTGTGAGTATATCAGTGACATTCCAGACACGAAATGCATTTATCAAGAAGACAAAGTGGGGGGAAAAATAAGGTATTTCATCAGGTAAAACAGGGGGCCATCACATTCTTATCTCCTGGGATGACACCCCACCCTACCCCACAATCATGGCCGGAGTAGTTCTTTTTAGGGTGATCAGAGAGCAGCAATAATAACTAAGGCCATTCATCCATCATAAGCCAAATCAGAGCCATCAGACCAGGGACGTGGCTCCATACAAGGTCAGTGAGTAGCCTGAGCAAAAGAAATGGCCTCAGGGGCCCAGAATCTGCCAAACAGCTGACCAGTAAAATCTAAATTGGCAACAAGGCCCAGTCCCCATCTCAAAAGAAAAATTAAAACCAGGCTTTCTGGGAGGGCAGGCCCTGATCAGAAGGGAGGTGATGCTTGTAACCAAGGCAACCCGCAAACACTAACTTTGCCTTTCTCCTCTCCTCCTCCCCAGTGGCCTGATTCCAAGCAGCCCTCCTACACTCCTATATCTCAGGGGGAGGTGTCAAGAGAGGATGAAGACATCTTATCATTCCCTGAGAAAAGCCAAAAGCATTAGGATGCTCCCACCAAAGGAAAAAAATATATATATAAGGAAAAATTACTAGTTGTTTATATCAGCAGAGAGATTTATGGAATAAATACAGGAAGCCATTTAAGGCTTCCCAGACTGGGGCCATGAACATTCTTCTAGATGGATTAAAAATTCAGAATAAAGTAATACAAAAATAGATAGTCAATTACCCTAATTAGCCTGATTTGATTAATTCATATCATATGCCTGTATCCAAACATCACATGTGCCCCACAATAGTTAGAAAGAAAAAAAGGAGATAGCCAACGATGCCTTACATTTACATAGAGTGCTGCAGTTTGCAGAGTGGTTTTCCATGCACCATGGGGAGGTAGAGACCACTGTCTCCGTTTGCCAGGGGAAGAAAGAAAGGGAAGCCCAGGCAGTTTAAGCGACTTGTCCAGGACCAGGTGCCCAGCACGGAGCCTCCAGTAGAGTCAGCTCTTACTTGATGCTTTAGTGAATGAACACAGCTCATGCCAGATTGATCCTGAATCTAAAGTTTCCGAATCCAAGTTCAGTTGCTGGCTTTCTTGCTTCACCCTAGATGTACTGAATTTTTACAGAAGCTTCATTCTTTTATTCATCGATTCAGCGAGTCCTCAACATGTGCTGGGCCTGTTTGGAACTCACACCCAAATGGCGGGTGTAAGTGTAGGGAAATAAGAAGAAAGAGGGAAATAAGATAATTTCAGATGGTGATAAATGCTCTGGGGAATATAAACAGGGTGACACGTTGGGGAGAAACTATGCAAAGGTTTTGGGGGTGCTATTTATAGGGGATTAATGAAGAGGTTCTGTTGAACATCATGGCTAAACATACAGCAATTTCCTATTAATCAGTATTTCTGATTGCCATAAGCTTCAATTTAACAACACTTTTAGAGAACTTAAACTACTGTTAAAATGCTAACTGGATGGAAATTTTTAATAAATAATATTCATTTCCCTAGTTTATTATGCATTCCAGTGAGGTAGAGAGGGCTATCAGCTCTATGCTCAATGATCACATTCAATGATTATTCGATTGCTTTCTTTTGTCTGTTAACTGTTATTTCTCAGCAAAGCAGCCTCCACAGAGCCACCCTCATATTTCTAATTTATTCTGAGCCAAGACTTAGGAGGAACTAACTGCTGATATATTAAAGTCTTTGGTAAAACTGTTTTAAATTACTCTTGCAACAGAGAAGGAAAAATGGCAATAGCAAATGCATTAGTTCTTTTTTTTTTTTTTTTTTTGTGAGACAGTATTGCTCTGTCACCCTGGCTAGAGTACAATGGTGTCATCATAGCTCACTGGAACCTCCAACTCCTGAGCTCAAGCGATTCTCCTGCCTCAGCTTCCCAGGTATCTGGGACTACAGGCATATACCACCATACCTGGATAAGTTTTCTTTTCTTTTCTTTTCTTTTTGTAGAGAGGGGAATCTCACTCTTGCTCGGGCTGGTCTCAAACTCCTGAACTCAAGTGATCCTCCCTGCCTCAGCCTCACAATGTGCTAGGATTACAGGCATTAGCCACCATGCCTAGCCAGCTATTTCTTGAGCAAATTACTTAAGAGCACACAACTAGTTAATAACAAAACCAAGACTAGAATGCAGTATCTCTACCAATTTCAGGGCTCTTTCTAATATAGACCACAGGAATCTGTTAAGCCTCAGAGCTCTCATCCATGAAGAGAAAAGTTTCCTTAAGTGATCTGAGTTTTTTTTTCTGGCTTTAAAAGTCTATGATGGAGGACTTTCACTTCCAGCCAAGATGGAGTAACAGGAACTTCATAAATCACAGGGCATTGGGTAGAGTGCTTAGAAGGATCTTTTCTCAGGAATGAAGAATAGTTCACCCTAGGCTAAATGTTTCTCTGGTCCCACCTAATAAGTCTTAAAAGATCTGAAAGTGCCAGACAATTTGCAAGTAACTTAACTGTGTCCCAGAACAAAGTTCAAGAATATTTATAGGAATACAAAAATATCCAGTAACCAATAAGGTGAAACTATCCAAAATGAAATACACAGAGAATAAAAATTTAAATAAAAGAGCATCAGTGATCTGTGGGACTTTAAATGCATATATATGTATATGTGTATGTATATATACATGTATATACACATGAACATGCACACACACATATAACTGGAGTCCCTGAAGGGAGGAGGGAGGGGGTGGTGATAGGAATTATTATTTGAAGAAATGATAGCCAAAAATATTCCAACTTTGATTAAAATTATAAATCCACAGATTTAAGAAGTTCAGTGTACCCCAAACACAATAAATATGAAAAAAAATACATCAAGGCACATCATAATTAAATTGTTCAAAACCATTGAGAAAGATAAAATATTAAAAGGAGCTTAAGAAAAGACATTATATACAGAGAAACAAAGAAAAGAAAGACAGCAGATTTATTTTCAGAAACAATGCAAGTGAGAAGGGAATAGAGCAATATATTTAATGTTTTGGGGGAAAAAAAGGATCAACCTGGAATTCTTTCTTTCCTCATCATAAATGTCTTACAAAAACAGATGAATACAATGGAATATTATTGGCAATAAAAAGTAATAAAGTACTGA